CAGCCTTCTTTTTATGGAGAAAAAGTGAAGTGGTACCTGTCGGACCACTGTGGGGAAGGGCCTGGGGAACGTCACACCGAACATCCTACAAGTGCTTCAGCTGATCCCCCACCCTTCCCAAAACTTACTTGTTCCATTCCCTGCCCCCAAAAGTTTCTCCCTGTCCTGGCAGTGATGGGTGCAGGCTCAGGTCCCCTCTCGTTCCCTGCTCCCCTCAGGCTGCTCCAGGCAGATCGGCTTCTCCTTCGCCAAGCCCAGGCTCTGCGCCTTCTCCGGGCTCTACTATTGCGACAGCTGCCACCGCGATGACGAGACCGTGATCCCCTCCCGCCTCATCCACAACTGGGACCTGACGAAACGAGGGGTGAGTCCTGGGCTGGGTCCACGCAGGGAGCAGGGAAACGCTCTGGCATCTGCCCACACTTCCTGAATGTCCATCTGGGCGTTCCCCGAGGTTGGAGGTGCCCACCCCAGACCCCTCCCCGAGCCTCTCCTCGGTCCATGCCCACCTGTGCCCTCTCTGTGCCCCAGGTGTGCAAACAGGCCCTCAAGTTCCTCTCCCAGATCCGTAACCAGCCCCTGATCGACCTGAAGCTGGTCAACGAGAGCCTCTACGAGCACGTGGAGAGGATGGGGCGGATCCTCCGGAGCAGGGAACAGCTGAAGCTGCTGGGGGATTACCTCATCATGTGCCGCAGCGGCGCCCTGAAGGAGCTGAGCAAGCGGTGAGGGCCCTCTCTGGGTGACGTTCCCTGCTCTTTGCACCCCTGTGGTCTCCTGGTTCTCCTCCTCACCCCCTGTCAGAGCAGTGCTGCCAAGGCTCAGGCTGGTTTTTCGCTCCATATCATCTGCCCTAAGGAGTTATCCCTCTGTTGACTGTGTCAGCACACTGAGCTGTGACTCAGGAAACACCTTCCTGGCCGAGGAGCTTCTGGCTGGACAGGAAACACCTGGGAAAATAGATGGGATATTTATTTTCTTTTTTCCCTCCCTGCTTTGAAATGCTCTCACACGATTTCCAGTGGCAGGATTTGGGATGTGTGGCACAATAGGAGAATAGGCTCTGCAGTGATTTTCTTCAGTAATGTGCATTGTCCAGGTACCTTCTTGCTCCAAAGCTGTTGGAGATGGCGTGGAAACCATCTACTCCTTTCTCTCTGTGCTTCTTTGCAGGCTTGATCACAGGCATTACCTCTTGGAGTGTCCCCACAAATACAGTGTCACTGATCTGAGGCAGGTGAGAGCTTTGCATGGTCATAGAATCACAAAATGGTTTGGGTTGGAAGGGACCTTAAAGACCATCCAGTCCCACCCCCTGCCACAGGCAGGGATACCTTCCACTAACCCAGGTTGCTCCAAGCCTTGTCCAACCTGGCCTTGTCATAGGGATTTTGCTGGTGAAGACACCCCAGGGTGTGTGGAGACACCACATGGTGCTTCTTCAGCAGGAGTTTTCCAACAGTTGGATTTTTCAGTGATTCCAAAGCCAGGGGCCCCATCCTGGCAGGTTGTGGGTGCTGCTCTCAGTTTTCCAGGGTCCTGTTGCGACCTGGGTGTGGGTTGTGTTTGGGGGACAGCCTTGCCTTCACGTGGCAGCTCCAAGAACGGGTGTAACCCAGCACGAACCCAGCGGGGTTGGGCTCCAGGAGCACTGACCCCCCTGTCCCACAGATCGCCGACGGCGTCTTCGAGACCTTCCTGCAGTCCCTGCTCCAGTTTGCGTCCCACCACGTCTACAGCTGCGACCTGTGCACCCAGCGCGGCTTCATCTGCCAGATCTGCAACAGCAGCGACATCATCTTCCCCTTCGAGTTCGACACTACCACCAGGTGAGCCCCCCCTCTGCCCCCTGCAGCCAGGACACCCAGGGGCATGGCCTGGCTTCTGCCAGGAGCCCCAGATGGCCCCTGGGTTCCCCTCGGGGGTCTGCACTTGCAAGGCATGTGGCCTCGGGGTGAACTGGGAATGGGTCTGACGTGGTTGTGTATCCTCGTGGTGCCCATATCCCAGTGGTGCCTGTGTCCTCGTGGTGCCCATGTCCTCGTGGAAACCATACTGTGGTGCTCACATCCTCATGGGAACCATATTGTGGTGCCCATGTCCTCATGGGAGCCGTGTCCTCATGTCCCACATCCTTGTGGGAGCCATATCCCATGTTGTCGTGTTGTCATGGTCCCCACATCCTTGTAATGCCCATGTCCTCATGGAAACCATATTGCGGTGCTTACATCCATGTGGGAACCATATTGTGGTGCCCATGTCCTCATGGGAACTGTGTCCTCACGTGCCACATCCCTGTGGGAGCCATATCCTTGTGCTGCCCATGTTGTCATGGTCCCCACATCCTTGTAATGCCCATGTCCTTGTGGAAAACATATTGTGGATCCCATGTTCTCATGGTGCCCATGTCCTGATGGAAACCATACTGTCGTGCCCATGTCCTCGTGGGAACCAAATGGTGGTGCCCACGTCCCTGTGGTGCCCATGTCCTTGTGGGAGCCATGTCCTCATGTCCCACATCCCTGTGGGAGCCACATCCTCATGCTGCCCATGTCGTTGTGGTACCCACGTCCCTGTAGTGCCCATGTCCTCATGGAAACCATATTGTGGTGCCCACGGTCTTGTGGTGCCCATGTCCTTGTTGGAGTCACCTCCCTGTGGTGCCCATGT